GGGTCACGGGTTGGTCTGTGTGGGTGGTGGGGGTCACAGGGTTGGTCTGTGTGGTTGGTGGGGGTCACAGGGTTGGTCTGTGTGGGTGGTGGGGTCACAGGGTTGGTCTGTGTGGGTGGTGGGGGTCACAGGGTGGCCTGTGGGTTGGGGGGTACAGGGTTGGCCTGTGTGGTTGGTGGGGTCACAGGGTTGGTCTGTGTGGTTGGTGGGGTCACAGGGTTGGTCTGTGTGGTGGTGGGGGTCACAGGGTTGGTCTGTGTGGGGGGTCACAGGGTTGGTCTGTGGGTGGTGGGGGTCACAGGGTTGGTCTGTGAGGTTGGTGGGGGTCACAGGGTTGCTCTATGTGGGTGGTGGGAGGTCACATGGTTGGTCTGTGTGGGTGGTGGGAGGTCACAGGGTTGGTCTGTGAGGTTGGTGGGGGTCACAGGGTTGGTCTGTGTGGGTGGTGGGAGGTCACAGGGTTGGTCTGTGTGGGTGGTGGTGGGGTCACAGGGTTGGTCTGTGTGGGTGGTGGTGGGGTCACAGGGTTGGTCTGTGTGGGTGGTGGGGTCACAGGGTTGGTCTGTGTGGTTGGTGGGGGTCACAGGGTTGGTCTGTGAGGTTGGTGGGAGGTCACAGGGTTGGTCTGTGTGGGTGGTGGGGTCACAGGGTTGGTCTGTGTGGTTGGTGGGGGTCACAGGGTTGTTCTGTGTGGGTGGTGGGAGGTCACAGGGTTGGTCTTAGTGGGTGGTGGGGGTCACAGGGTTGGTCTGTGTGGTTGGTGGGAGGTCACATGGTTGGTCTGTGTGGGTGGTGGGGTCACAGGGTTGGTCTGTGTGGTTGGTGGGGGTCACAGGGTTGTTCTGTGTGGGTGGTGGGAGGTCACAGGGTTGGTCTTAGTGGGTGGTGGGGGTCACAGGGTTGGTCTGTGTGGTTGGTGGGAGGTCACATGGTTGGTCTGTGTGGGTGGTGGGGTCACAGGGTTGGTCTGTGTGGGTGGTGGGTCACAGGGTTGGTCTGTGTGGGTGGTGGGGGTCACAGGGTTGGTCTGTGTGGGTGGTGGGGTCACAGGGTTGGTCTGTGTGGGTGGTGGGGGGTCACAGGGTTGTTCTGTGCTGTTCAGGCGACAGGGTCTGAGGGGAGCAGTAATTCCTGTTGCCCCCTGTCTCGGGAGGTGTGGGCTCTTGTGCTCCCACTTGCCTTGGTCGCTCCGACGTTCCCTCAGTATTACTGTTACTTCTTCTGTGCTAACCCTGACCTGAACCCTCGTGCTTGAAGGCTGGATGGGACGTTTGTGTCTGGAAAGGAGACAGCCTCGGGCAGAGCCCCGGCAGCCAGAGCGGGGGATCGTTCCGGTGCTGTGGCCCCGCCGCTGTCTGGGGTCTTGTGGGCAGGAGCTGGCAGCGTCCTTGCTACCGGAAGCTCCTGATCCAGCTGAGAGCTCACAGCTGGGGTGCTGCGGGGGCCGTGGGAGGGGTCTTCTTCCTCTGTTGTATAGGGGCCTTGCTGTTTCCATGGCGTTTCCCCCCGGAGATCATCCTCCATCCTGGGGGTGGCGGCTCACCCTGGACGGGACTTGCAATTTTGGTCCTCTGTCCTCAGTGTGGGACTGGGCTTCGTGGCGTGCCTAAGGCAGGAGGGTGTTGAATTCCAGGGCGCTGGTGCTCACCACACCCCTGCCAGGAGGGGGAGGGGGCCTGGCAGTTCCCACCTCGGGCCTTCAGGGCGCCTGGCTGGGCTCTGCGCGTCACTCAGGACAGCACTGGCGGCTTTCCGGGGGAGACCCGTGGGGCAGCCCGGCTCCGCAGCTCTGTGCCGGCTTTCCTGGGCCCCTCTAGCCAGTGGTGACCGTCCTGCAGAGCCAGGAGCCTGCCCTACGAGAGTCTGGTCCCTTCTGCAGGCTGGGCGTGGCCTGGAAGTTGGTTGTGCTTTTTGGCTGTTGGCCGGCCAAGACGCCGCTGTGTGTGAACATGTGTGTGTCGGTGTCATCCCTTCTGTCCGTGTTCCAGGGGCCAAGGGAGCTTTGAGGGGGACCCCTTGGCACCCCTTTCCCTGAACACGACCAGGTGTGCTGCGGTACAGTCGGCAGAAGCTGTTTAAAAATTGACTGGGGTGTGTGTGTGTGTGTGTGTGTGTGTGTTTGTCAACGCATTACAAAGTGAGCCGGTGGGGCAGGGCCAGGGGCTGCTGTGAGGGTGGTGTGGTGTTCCTGTGACCCTCGGGGGTGAGCCGAGGGCTGCCGGGGCGGCTGCGGGGTGAGCGTGGCTGCTCCCGCGTCTGCAGGTTCCCACGCCCATTCATGGCAGGAGGAACGGCCAAGCTGCACCTGGAAGGCGGGGGAGACGTCTTCTCCCCTGCCCAGGGCCCTGGAACCCTGCCAGGCTCACGGCCTCGGAGGCTAAGAGCCTCGGCACAGCCCCAGGAGGCAGCCCTGGGAGAGCCGCGTGCCCGCGTGGCTTTTGCTGTGCACGAGCGTGGTCTTTGGGAACGGTCACAGAGTCTCGTGCGCTGGAAAGTCGGGGCTGTGTGGGGAGCCCAGTCTGAGCTCCTTTGTGCAAACAGAGCTGCACTGGCTGTTCCCCGGGAGTGACGGAGCACGGCACGGCCGCTGCGTCCTCTGCCCGTCTCGCAGGCCAGGCATTGACCTTGTGATTGCGAGGATGAGGGCGGAGGGCAGTCGCCCGGTGTCACGTCCGCAGTGCCTGCCGAAGAGCGAGGCCTGGGGAGGCCACGCACGCCTGGGACAGGGCCGCTGCTCACAGCCTGGGGGTGCGCAGGCCCTGGCTCCACAGGTGCCTAGGGGCAGCCCTGCGGGAGGCCGCGGGAGTGCCGTGTGTGTGTGTGGGGGGGGGAAGGGGTGTGCTGGGTGTGTCCTGTCTCTGGGGAGCGTGTTGTTAAATCTGGCCCTATGTTCAGATAGGAAGTGTGTAGAGTGGGACCTGTGGTGTTTATCATCTGTCTGTAGGCTTGGGGACCTGGGTACCCTGACCTGGTCTCCTTGAGCTTGGCTGTGGCTGTGGGCGGGGGGAGGGGTGCAGAGCGCACCTTGGAGCAGGAGGCGGCACTGGCTGTGGGCCGTGCCCTGCCTCGTGTAGTGACCAGGTTGTGGGGGAGAAGCTCCCTGGGGACCCAGGGCTGCCAGCTCCCAGCGTGGCAGGGAGGCTGCTGCACCCGGACTTGGGGGCCTGGGCTTCCAGGTCGGCTTCTGGCTTGAAGTAGGGGGCCCTGCTTGGTCACCTGGGGCCTGGGGAGGCTTCTGATTGGATACGGGGTCTTAGTCAGTCACCTCCCGGTCCTGGACATCGGTGTCTTGAGCTCTTCCTGGGGTCACCATTCCTTTGGGGTGGGGTGTGGCCAGTGGGCGAGGCCTGGGCGAGAGGTCGCTGACCTGTTCCCTGTCTTCCCTCCAGGGCGGGAGCAGTTCCACGGCCTGGGCTCCATGTACTGCCGGGGCGCCGTGGCCGTCGTCCTCACCTATGACGTGAGCCACCTGCAGAGCCTGGTGGAGCTGGAGGAGCGGTTCCTGGGCCTCACGGACACGGCCAGCAAGGACTGCCTCTTTGCCATCGTGGGGAACAAGGTGGACCTCACGGCGGACGGGGCTGGGGAGAGCGGGGAGGAGGCCGCCGACGGCTGTGCCCTGCCCAGGGTGCCCAGGCAGGTGCAGCCGGAGGACGCGGTGGCCCTTTATAAGAAGATCTTGAAGTACAAGATGCTGGCCGAGGAGGACGCGCCAGCCGCCGAGCAGATGTGCTTCGAGACCAGCGCCAAGACGGGCTACAACGTGGACCTGCTGTTCGAGTCCTTGTTCGACATGGTGGTGCCCGTGATTGGGCGGCAGCGGGCAGAGGGGCCGGCTCAGACGGTGGACATCGCTAGTTGTAAGCCGCCTGCACGGACCAAGTCGGGCTGCTGTGCCTGACCCCCGACCCGGAGCACGGCGGGCAGGCAGTCACACGGGAGGGACTGTGGGTGGCTCATGGCGGGGCTGAGGGGCTGCGGTGTGCAGGCGCCCCTCCCGCGCCCTTGCTGTGACCACACTGCCCACTTCTGCGTCCTTCTTCCTGGACATTGCCCTTGCCTCTGGTGACCTCTGACCCTCCCTTTGGGCACTTGGATCTCAGTGTGTTGCAAGCGATTCTCCGCTTGTTGGTTCCATTGTCTGGAGCAGCGTGGGCTGCACGCGTCAATAGCATGTGACTGCCTCTGATTCTTCATTCAGTTTATAGATATTTATATAATATTTGATAATTAAACAGGGAGACATATAAGTAATCAATGTTTTTCATGAAAAAATTCTTGTATCTGAAGATTAAAAAATTTATTGAAAATATATATTTTTTCTAATTGAAAAAAAAAAAAAAAGGATCTTGGGCAGCCCTGATGTTGAAGACGTGTGGCTGTGGCTCTGTTGCTGCTCCCGGGACTGCTGGCAGGGAGATGGCTGGGAGTCTGGGAGGCTTTTTAAAGATTCGTTTATTTGAAAGGCAGAGTTATAGAGAGGCAGAGGCAGAGAGAGTGGTTCACTCTCCATATGGCTGCAATGGCTGGAGTTGGGCCAGTCCAAAAGCAGGACCCAGGAGCCTCATCTGGGTCTCCCACGTGGGTGTAGGGGCCCAAGCACTTGGGGCATCTTCCGCTGCTCTCCTTGGTACACTAGCAGGGAGCTGGATCGGAAGTGGAGCAGCCGCAACTTGAACTGGCGCCCATGTGGCTTTACCCGCTACGCCACTGCCGGCCCCTGGGAGACTTTCCTGACCCTTTGAACTTGGGATGTGGCATCCGTCCATTGCTGACTTGAGTTACAAGAACAGCAAAACTGAAAGCTGTGGTCCTGGTCTGTCTGGGGGTCCCCAGGGCACCCCAGGTTTCGGGTTGGAAACCCCCTTTCTGGTGCTGCCGCTGTGGGTGCTGGCTCAGTGTTTTATGAGACGATGCCAGACAGGGTGGTCGGGGGAGCCCAGTTTCTGCTTCCTGGGAAGTTCGAGAGCAGGGGGCCGGGCTGGGGCTCTGCTGGGGATGGAGCGGGGAGGCGGAGACCAGGCTGGCGGCTGCCTGGGGGGCTCTGCTTTCTCGGGACTTTGTTGAGAGGCCCCCGTGTTGTCTCCCGTGAAGCGTGCGTGTTTCAGGTAGGTGATGGGCCCCAGGGAAGGCCGCCTCTCCCGGACTGAGAGCGCCTGCTGAGGGTCACCAGCAGAGCTGGCAGGTGAGGGAGGTGACCCTCCGCGTCCTCCCCCCGCCCCGTCCTTGGATGCAGCTTGGTGTGTGTGTCGGGGGGAGGGTGGGAAGCAGTTCTGTCCCATTTTCAATACTGTGGGAGGAGCCAGATGCACTTAGCACCTGGCTCGGACCCTGTGGGCTCAGCCCTGGTGCTGGGCTGGCCTCAGCTGTGGGGCCCAGGGTGGCTGCACACTGTCAATGCCACGTCTCACTGTGGCCGGGTGCTCGGTGGTGCCGCGAGAGCAGGAGCGGCCGAAGGCGCCGGATGCCTGCCTGGGGCGCTGGGGAGAGCGAGCCGGAAAGCCCCGGTGCCTGGAGCGTGTCCTGACCCCCTCCAGGTGAGGTCCAGCTCCGATGGCGAAGACGTCGCCACCTCGTCTGAGGCTGTGCTTGGCTGGCTCCTGGCTTAGCTTCCAGCGGCTCAGAGTCTCACCCACTCGCCGCCTCCTTCCGTGTTCCCTGCAGCAGCGGCCCACTCGGCTCAGATGTCCCCACGCCTGCTAACGTCCGTCTCCCCGGCCTCCCTCGGGCTGCCCGGCATGCGCAGGTGGAGGAGCGCTGGCCAGCTGCGGCGTGGGCGGCCCTGCTGGGACTTGTGTGATGCTTTCTCACTTCTGACCTGGGGTCTTGGGTTTGGGGAGGAGGCGTGCAGGGCCACGGCCGTGAAGCCAGGAGATCAGTCCTCCACGTCTTCCGTGTGGGGGCAGGGACCCACATGCTTGAGCCATCGCCTGCTGCTCCCCAGGGCCTGCATGGGCCGGAAGCTGGAGTTCAGAGCTGGCGCGAGGCATCACCCCAGGCACCCTGGTGTGAGGACAGATGCCCGCCCACTGCCGCCTTCTCGCTCTCTCCCAGCCTGGCCACTGGGAGCAACCTTCCGTGGGCACTGTCCCCATCCTGGGGTTTATCCTCGGGCACTTCCTGGCACAATCCCACAATCGGCTTCCTCCACAGAGCCCTGGTTCCTTTTCCTGGAGGAAGGTTCTAGAACCCATGACTGGGGGCTGGGTGTGCCCATGGCTGTGCGGGGGTCTTCAGCTGACAGCAAAGAAATGTATGCAGGCACTTGATTCACGGAAGTGGAACGAACAGATAGCTCTGTTTTGGTGCAAGAAGTGTCTGGAGCCCATGCGTGCTTTTTCCATAGTGTGTGTTTCCATGGACTTTTTGGGGACCCCGGTCTGTGCTCTGTATGGCCCTGTGACCGTGAGCGACAGGGCTGCCTTTGACCTGGGCACCCTGCAAGCTGCGGACAGTGCCCCGGGCAGGGCTTCCCGTCCATGCGCTCAGGGCTCGCCCAGCCTTTCCCCAGCGCCCTTGCCAGCCAGGGAGGCTGCCGCCAGCGGGCAACCCAACCGCGGGGTCTCCTGTGGGCTGCAGCAGGGTCTCGGCTGGGATCTGAGCTGCCAGCCGCTTCGAGAAGCAGTGCAGGCAGAAGTGGGTGTGACTGAGGGTTGCTCCACAGGCGTGGGGTGCGGTCCCTGGGCGGTGCAGACACGCTGGGCACTCTGCGCGCTCGGGGTGGCTGCTGTCCTCGGCACCCGGACACCAGCCCAGGGGCCGACCGTCCCAGGCAGCGTGCGAGGGCCCTGGAGCCGCGGTTTGGGTTTCCAGGCTCACCAGGTCTGGTGGTTTGGTTGAGGGTGGGGACATCTCACCTGCTATGCGAGGGTCTTCAGAAACTCATGGAAAACGCACAACGTGGAAAAACTGTGTGTGGATCTCAAACTGTTATTGCACCCAAGTAAGCTTTCAGTTCCACTTCCCCGGGCGTTCGGAGGCCCCTCCCTCGTGAGCGACTTGCACAATGCGACCGAGTGTTGAGGCCGTGACCTCCGTCAGGGGTCTAAGGCTGGGCCTCCTTTTCCCGTGGATCCCCGGGGGGCCTGGTTCTGTAGGGCGTCGACCCCGAGCCCAGCCGAGCGGTCCCCTCCTGGACCAGCTCAGCAAGGAGGCGGTAGCAGAGCAGGACGGGGACACCGGGCGGGCATCTCAGGACGGAGCCGCGCACCGTCTGCATTCGCTCTGGGGATGTTAGGGTACGGCCCTGGCCCTGTCTCCCCCAACCCCTGCCCCGGGGACACAGCTGGGTGGGGGGCTTCCTGGCATGGTGGCGGTCCTAAAATTTCTCCAGGACTTGATCAGCTCGGCTTTGCTGGGCCTAACAGCTCCCTTGATGCTTGGCGTGGGCTGGTTCCTGGAGAGGGCTGGGTCCCAGCCAACCAGGTTATGCTGCCTGGCCTCCACGCTTCTGTTCCCGTGCCCCGTGCAGCTACACAGAAATCCCCTTCTCTGGCCCCTCTCGAGCGCAGAGGTCCCCCGGGACCCTGCTACCGAGTGAAGCGGGGGCAGCAGCCCCCCCCTACCAGTCCTGCAGGCATGCTGGCTGTGTCCAGCCCTGGTTGCCTGTCCCCCTGGCTCGCCCCTCGGCTCTTGCTGGGGCAACCAGCTGTGTGCACCTTGCACCACCTTCACCCGGCTCTGCTCCCTCCCCCCGGTGCTGGCAGGAGCTGGCTCGGCCCGGCTGGTGAATCAGGACTTCCGTTTCCTGTGCTGTGCTGGGCAAGCTGAGGCTCTTCCCGGCCTTCCCCAGCGGGGGCTCGACAGCGCTGCCCCACGGTAACCACCTCAGTACCGGCCCTGCCCCCCTGGACTCGCGCCCCGGCACGACCCTCCCTCCTCATCTCCCAGCTCCTGGGGGCGTGCACGCCACAGCAGGTGCTGCTCCATTGCAGGTGGCGTCACTTAGAGGAAGCTTAATGTGAGGTTACAGACGGGAAAGTCGCGGTCCCCGTGTCGGTGTCCTGAGTGTCAGCCAGATTCCAGAGCCCTCGAAGCCCGGGATGTGTCCTGGAGGCCGTCGGCTTTGAAGTTCCGAGGTCTGACCCAGGAGTGACCTTGGGATTGCACCTGTGTGGTGCCCGAGCCCCAAGCCCCAGCGGGCTGGAAACACCCAAGAAGAGAAATCGAGAAATCGGAGACAGCAATGTTGAAAAGCAACAAAGTTTATTTGTTGGTTGTTACACAGGATACAGTGCGGGGGCGGGTACAGCTCAGCAGAAACGGGGGAGCCCCCAGGAGAAGCACCGCTTGGAGCCCAGAAATCGGCCCCGACGTATTGCCAACCCAGCGGTCACGAGGCAGAACTGCGGGTGAGGGAGGGGTGTGCTTACAAATGCGCCCGTCGGCGTGATGGCAGTGAGGGGGCGTGGCCAGGCCCCCAGGGGACCCTCGGGCTGCGCGTTTCCGTCAGGGGCTGCCATGTTGGTGCCACCCCTGGTGGCTGCGTGGTTAGCGGGGCGCGGCTAGTGGGCGGGGTTTCTGCTGTGCTTGGTCCAGAGCGCCTACTGGGTGACGCACGGCGACAGGTGGCTCTGGGTGCCCAGTCTCTTTGGTGGCTTCTTTTTGGAAGGCAGAGGGAGGCGGCTTTCTGGGTCGGCACGTGAGGTAATACGTTAGGAGGGAGCACCATGCTGGCCTCGCCGGCGGCCGCGCCGGCTCACAAGTTCTTCATGCACACCTGGCAGCGGCTGATGTGCGTGCGGATGAGGCCGGCCTTGAGCGTGTCGGCCGAGGGCGAGCCCTGGAAACTGCGCTCGGGGATGGTGGTGAGCCAGAAGCTGTACTTGTTGGCGTAGTAGTGGCAGGTGCCGCGGCCGCCGTTGCACTCGATGAAGGGCGTGGCGCGGAAGTCCTCCAGGCAGCTGCCCGGCGACACCAGCGACTGGCCACCGCCTTCGTCCCCGGCCGCGGTGTGCTGCGGGGAGGGGGAGGGGGAGACGCGGTCAGGGCCAGGACCGGCGCACCACGCGTGCTGGCTGACCGCCCTGCAGTGCCCACTGCGTCTGTCAGGTTTGATTTTCTGTCAGGTTCACTGAGCCACAAGTCAGTGCCAGGGGACCCCTGCTTTTTTTTTTAAATTTTTTTGCCACCTTAAAGTTCTGCTTTGCCTGTACGCGTTTTTAGCTTCCGCAGGGAGGCCTCTGAGGCCCTGCTGGGAGACGCTGCCTGCGTGAGCCCCGGGAGGAGCTGGCGAAAGGCACTGAGTCGGGTGCACACATACAGGCGTGTGCTGTACACACGTGCAGTGACACGCACACAGATATGTACACA